CTGTGGGGGCGATATGCTGGCTCTGTAAACCGCTTAGAGAGGGCTGAAAGCCCTATGAAGCGGTATATAAGTCTAACTGCTATTGCTATTGCTATTGTTGTTATCTGCTTTGCAATTTTTTATTACTTTTAATAAATATAATTTTATATATAAATGCAATAAATGTTAATATATTTTATAGTATTATACTAAGAGTTGAAGAGGCACCTAGTTGGAAAATGTTTGTAATGCAACATACACAGCTGGACAGATATACATGAGGCTCAAAATCCATTCAGAGAAGTGTTTTCTGTAGAAGGCAATAAGAGAGGAAATCTCACTGGGGCTAACTTTGCACCAGACTTTCACACAACTGACTGAATAGCAGGTGGTTGCAAGTATACCTTTCATGCTAACATATTCATTAAAGCTCCCTTGTCTGTGCCTTCCTGGAATTGTAAAGTGCACACTGGCATTATGCAAGTAAGACTGAGCAAGTAGCAAGAAAAGCTCTTTTTCTAAAAAAAACGAAGGAAAGAAAGGAAGGAAGGAAGAAAGGAAAGAAAGAAAGAAAGAAAGAAAGAAAGAAAGAAAGAAAGAAAGAAAGAAAGAAAGAAAGAAAGACAGAAATAAGCTAAATGAATTGGGAAGAATTATTTATTGTGTTTCTCCCTTTCTTATGATCTTTGCCTGTGTCCAGAAGGCTCATAAATTAAGGAGTTAAGTAATGATGATTCTGTAGAGATGAGACAGATTACAATATCATGTTATTTCTTCATAAGACCCTAGAAGATGTATCTATCTCTATCATGCATATCTGTCTCCCTTTTTTTTTCCAGAAAGTATCCTCCATTGTTTGGAAATTATAAAATAAGTCATACTGTGCACTTAAAGAAGGCCTTATCACCATTTTTTTTATTTGAACAAGTATTTTACTGTTTGAAGAACCACATAAAAGTATGGACTATGTTACATATATATTTATTCACAGTATTTCACCATACTTTGATGCTTCCCTGTTACATCCATTCTTTTATTTATTTTAACCATGTTTCAGTTACCATTTTTCTTTATTGATACGTAAACAACCATATGGCTTGATTCTCCATGTTTGTTTGTTTGTTTTTGTTCAGTTTATAACCCACCTTTTATTTAGGAGGTCAAGATGAGATTCTCTCTCCTCCATTCTTCACCATAATAACCTCCATGAGCAGTAAAGAGAAAGAGGGAGGGGGGAGAGAAAAAGAGAGGGGGGATCTCCCCAATTCTAGTCCTAAACTTTATCATAAATATGTATGAAAAACTTGAATCTTGTGGGCTGGCTGCCTGGCTGCCCTCTCCCTCTCCCCCCCTCACACAAACACAAACACACACACACATACACACACACACATACACACACACACAAAGGTTTGCCCATTTGTTTAAATGCTGATTTACAAACTCCAGAACACATAAACCTTCACAAAATATTCACACTTCTTTAGATGAGAAAGTGGTATCTGTGTTTGCTTTTCATTTATTTGGAGTGGTTACTCATTTCTAAATACATGTAAGAAAGAGAAAAATTAGAAGAGAAGCCTACAATCAATAAATCTCTCTCTATTTCTGTGTCTCTCTGTGTGTATGTATCTGTCCCTCTGCCTGCCTGCCTGCCTCCCTCCCTCCCTCCCTCTCTCTCTCTCTTTCTCTCTCTCTCTCTCACTCTCACACACACACACACACACACACATGCAAATAAGCTGTAAAGGAGAACACCATAAATCTTCCTATTGACTATGCTTCCTTTCTTGCTAAAATATTCATACACAATTAAATATCAAAAGAAGACAGGAATGACACATAGATGTGTATGACTATAGCATGCTAAGCTTAGCTGCTCCTCTGAGTGTTTTAAGCTAAGTGTGCCTCTTAGTTTAAAACGTGATTGAGAAGTTTCTGGAACCTCAAACTTCATTTCCTACCAAAGCTCTATTGAACAAAAGCTACCTTAATCACAACCATTGTCTCTGTTTACAGCCGTTTATATGTCTGTAAAGCCATACATAAAATACTTCTTTATCCCATTCCATCTAGAGACCTAATTAGAGCTTGTTTTAACTCCATTTGCTGCCATTCTGTGTATTTATTTATTCACTTAGCAGTAGTCCGTTCAGAAACCCTTTACTATTCTCAAATGCTTTCATCCTTCAATAGGTAGCCTTTGACTTAAATGGCTTACATGAGTTTACATCACAAATCATGACAGTCATCAGTTGAGATATCCATGCAATCATATCTGATTTTATGATTTTTTTAAAAGCAAAATTATGGGCTTTTTTGGGTCAGGAACCAGCGGAAAAGACTGGGAACACGGTAACTGGTCATACAGGTAAACCAATTGTCAGGTGTCCAAAGTGTTGTAATGTAACCATGGGCGTGTGCACGCAGCTGCCAGAACTGGGTCATAAGTAGTTATTTTGTAGGGGGGGGGGTATGTTTGTAGCTTCAAATAGTCACTAAGTGATCAGTCATTAAGCAAGGAATCCTTGCATTCATATCCACCACCCCTATTACAATACTGGAAGTTTCCAAATCACTTTTACACTGTCAAATACACAAGACAGCTTTTCTGCCTTTGTGGGAGAGTTTGCCAAAATGCTCTTCACAATGTACATTCATATCTAATGGTAGGTACGGGGATCATTTTTCTGCTTCTATAGAGAAATAACTTAATCATATAAACATGTAATTTCTATGGTAGACTAGGAATAAGTAGATAGAGGAACAGGCAAAATCCCCATGAAATATTTTTCATATGTTACATACCCAAAAAGCAATTCAATCTTTAATGCCATCTGTTGCGAATGATTCATATGGTTTTGGTCAAACCAGTGCCAGTTCACATGTTATTCCTTAGCATTATGGTCTGGTTGTTATTACAATTGAAGCTCATCCAAGTGGCAGATTTACAAAGTCCCTCCTCACCTATACCATTTTATACAAATCTAAGACTCACATTCTTTAATCTACCTCCTAGTTAAACTTTTTCATATAGTTATAACCGGATAGCAATAGCAATAACACTTAAGACTTAGATACCACTTCATGGTGCTTTACAGCATTCTCTAATTGATCTTTACAGAGTCAACATATTGTCATCAACAACTTGGGTCCTCTTTTACCGACCGCAAAAGGATGAAAGGTTGAGTCACCACCTTGAGCTGATGAGAATCGAACTGCCGGCAGTCAGCAGAATTATCCTGCAACGCAGCATTCTGACCACTGCACCACCACAACTCATATAAACATATAACTGAATCAGAGGTGGGTTGCTCCCAGTTCTGCCTGGTTTGGCAGAAGCAGTAGTGGCAGCGGCAGGAGGCTCCACCCACCCGCCCAGATGCTTCTGCAAATACACAGAAATATTGCACGTGTGTGCGTGCAAGCATGCATGCGTGCAAGCATGAGTGAACCGGTAGTAAACCAATTAGCAACCCACCACTGAATTAGATCCTTCTTTGAACATTTTCTAAAGGTTCCAAAAGATATAATGTTCAACACTATTGGAGATATTGTGATATTTTTCAAAGCCTATCAGGAATTTCTCGGTGAGAAGGGGACTAGGCATCAGGCAATGTCTTTGAATATGTCCTATAATGTGAAGATGAGGATCTGACAGTAACCCTCAATTATTTGCTCTGTTCTGAAGAGTTGAGAGAAAGAGATCTCTGTTTAGCATCGAATGTGTCATGCTTACATACAAATTAATATGTCCGTATTCATCAAAAACTGTATAATGATCACTGTAATTATGTTACAGCCTTGTGATCAAGATTTATCCAAAAGGCCAACAGATTAGATCACAAATTACAATGGTTTTATTTAAAAATAAGCTACATAAACTACAATGATGGGGTTTATATAACATGTTAAGCCAGAAACTAACTATCTTATGGCTGGCTATAATGTGCAAATCTAGGAACACATTTGCTTTGCTGTCCTGTTAACATTTAAATTGCAACCACTGCCATTCTTTAATATTTATACATTTGACATCTGTCAATCTCTGTTTTTGAATTATTTACTTAATGCAATGCATTAAGAAACCTTGAGCTCATTTAAGTTTCCCTATAAACGAAGTCTTTAATGCTAGTACCAGCAGAATAAAATTAGTAGGTTGAAGGAAATAGTTATAGCTGGGAAGATCTACCTACCTACCTACCTACCTACGTACCTACCTACCTACCTACCTATCTGTCTGTCTGTCTGTCTGTCTATCTATCTATCTATCATCCGTATGTATGTATGTATGTATGTATGTATGTATGTATNATTATAATACACCTAATAATTATAATACACCTAATAATTATAATACACATTAATCCACATTAAAATAAGCACAAAAACATTCATTATATGTAAAAAGCAAAAACATTTTATTACAGTTGAGAGAAATATAATTAAACAAAAGTCCTAGTTTTTTCTAAAGAAACTACATTTTTTCCAGAATTGTTATTGTGGAGATTGTTATGTTAATTCTATAGATAATTAGGAAATACTCTAGCAAGCACAGAAAAACAGCAACAAGAGTCAAATGAGTGTTAGGCAGAGTTTTTATACTTTTAAAAGCAGATAATATTTCTGATATGTTCTATTTCCAGTATCCAGAATTATTTGCTAATCTACCCATACGGCAAAGAACAGGAATCTTATTATATGGGGCTCCAGGAACAGGAAAAACTTTATTAGCAGGTGTAGTTGCCCAAGAGAGTGGAATGAATTTTATCAGCATCAAGGTAATAAATTGAACTTTTATAAAATTCCTGAGAGTGCTAAGATAACGAAAGCCTTTTTAAAATATGCAAGAAGCAATTTTGAATCTGTTTTGCAACTATCTGTGTATACAATTAAAGTACATTGATAAGTGATTATAGAAAAGCCTTTGATTGCAACCTTGACAAGCTAGAAATATAGAAAATTGGTGGCAAAAAAGGACACATGATCTATCGTATCAGCCTTTTGATGAGTTTTTGTTTTTAATTTTTTTTATTATTTATTATTTATATTATGGCCTTGCCACACAGTCAGCCAGATGTTCAGAGTGGATTTGGCATTTTTGTTCGCCAATCAAATCCTGGTCCCAAAGACCAGTGATAGGCAAAGGTAAATGTTTGATGGTGTAACAAATATTGTTACGGGATGTATTTATTTTGTTTTATTATTTTACTTCGCTTTAAATTTTGAATTAAAATATGAAATGTGTTCAGAAAAATGGGCATCACAGAGCTATGTATTCTCCTTGTGAGATACTTATGTACAGGTCAGGAAGCCCCTGTACAGATAGATCATGGTGAAACAGACCAGCTGCAGTCTGTTGGCAAAGGAGTGCGAGAAAAGTTGTATATACATTCTCCTTAATTCATTCATCCTATATTTGAAGTACAAACTAATTAAAGGTCAACTGGAAGAAGATAGCTGTGGTTTTAAAACTAAAAGATGAAACATCAATAATCTGTGCTACTGTGAAAACACATTCCTGATAGCCAAAAACATAGGTATCCTCGACCTACAATCATCCAATCAGTGAACATTCGAAGTTAGGGTGTTGCTGAATGAATGCTTGTTACAACTGGTCCTCAGAGTTGCGGTTGTCCTAGCAACCCCTTGGTTACATTACCGTAAGGGTGTCAAACTCGCAGCGTCATGTTACCGTCAGGTGAAGCTTTGCGATGTTTCCTCCCTTTGCGGAGCTGGGGTGGGTGTGACCTGCGCGTGATGCATCCGACCTGCAGGCTGCCAGTTTGACACTCCAACATAAAATAGTTTAGCTGTTTGGTAACCTGTTTGCACTTAGGCCATGTTGCCGAGCAGCCACAGTCATGTGATTGCCACTTGTAACTTCCTGCCAGCTTTCTCAAAAAGTTAATGGAAAGGAAAGCACAGAGAAGATCATAAATTGCTGGGGTAAGTCTTGCCTACCTGTGCACACTCTCCCAACCCTCTGCATGTGTGTTGCCAGCCCCTCATGCACTGCACTTACTCCTACACACTATTTCCAAACCATATGGCACCTCTCATACACTTTCTCACACCAACCCTGATCTGCATAGCATCTTTCACTCAGCCCCCAACCTATGCAGTGGCTCCCTCACACCCGTCCCCACAACCTTTGTGGCATTTCTTACACACTCCTTCACTTCCCCTACTCGCTTCCCAACCACGTAGTGCCTCATTCACCTCGTTGTGCACCCTCCTCACACTATGCTGTATCTTTCATATGCGCTTCCCAACTCACGCAGTGCCTCTCACACATCCCTCAGACCACACAACCTCCCCGATCCACATGGCTCATCTTGCACCCTTACTCGCGCCCTTCTGCTTGGTATGCAATGCATCGCCTCACTCCATCTCCAACCTAGAAGCAGACATTTATATATCTGTTGCCTGGCATTTGCAACTTCTGCTATGGTAGTTTCCCCACTGACTTTAGTTGTAGGAAGCTGACAAAAAGTTGCCTTACCTAATAGCTGAGTGATTCAGTTATCAACAGCAGCTGAGGCTATCACTAAGCGAAGAAGTCATGCTTTGCAACTACATTGCTTAGGAATGAAAATTCTGGTCCCAACTGCTATCTTAAGTTGAGGACTTACTATACAATGATCTGCAAGCTGGAGTAATATCAAGATGCACAGTGGAAAAAAATGAAACTGAAATTAAGTATAAAGAAGATCAAACTAAGGGCGACAGCTAGAACCAGCTTTAAAATTGGCAAACAAAATATCAAAGTGGTGGATAGCTTCTGCCTTTTAGAATCAACTATCAACAAGAAAGGATCAAGCAGTCAAACAATTGGTTATAAGCTAGCAGTTGCTAGGCAACCAATATTTATTTAACATGATGAGAACATCACAGATTAGAAGTAAACCTATGTACACAGTCCCCATAATTATAAATAAAGCTTCTATGGGGGTATTGCAGTTGCCTCATAATTGGATGTCCAATTCAGCTACTCAGGTGATCACCTCTGGTGTTGCTTCACGCAGACTACCATGCAGGCCATGAGAAACAAATCTAAATGCTGGGATGTTTCTATACTTACAAAGATCAGAATGATGGAAGCTTTGTGACACTGTGAAACTGAAAGATGGATTTGAAGAAGGGTTGGAAGAGTATTGATGCTTTTGAACTTTGGTGTTGGAGAAGACAATACAGTGGACATCCAAGAAAACAAATCGATGGATTAAGGAACGATCTCCCCGTGGAGATTCGTACCCTCACCACCCTCCAGACCTTCCGCACAGCCCTTAAGATCTGGCTATCCCGTCAGGCCTGGGGTTAANGTAAGGGTATGGCTAGCTGATGAGAGCTAAATAGCTTGAAATAGATCTATACTAGTCTCCCTTTATTTATTTATCAGCACAAATGCAATATATATCAGTGTGTGTGCTGTTGTGCCTAAAAATGGCTTCTATGTACTGTTGTAAAATGACTTCTACTGTACAGTGCAGTGCAGTGGAATTATCATGGTAACAGCTTCCAGTACTCCACAAGGGGGCTCCCTCTGGTAAGGGAAAAAATCCAACATTAAAAATTATGTTTGGTCTGGACATTTTCCCCCTATAAATAAATATCTAGGCAACGCTGGATTATCAGATAGTTATAAATAAATCAGAACTGATTACTCTTTTTAGGATCCAGTCTAGGTGGGACACTGAGACCAGAGATTTAGTCTTCAGTGGTTCTGAACTTGTACTGGAGGCCATCCTCAGGAAACTTCTCTTCCACATTCCGTTAGAGAGAAGTTCTTTATCTTAACAATGGTTAGATTAAAATTTTTTATAAAGATGTACTATTATTGGATGGATTTTGGATGATGTAATGAAATGCCATAATATAAATTTACTTAGAATGTAGAATATCTCACATAAAATGGAGTAATGACAATTATAGTCAAATAAATGTATAATATTGATAATAATTGTTTACATATATATCAGATTAATAATATGAGATTTTATATAAAGTGTAAGTGATGACTATGGTAAGGAAGTATAAAAAGTTTTGTAACCAATCAACACACTGTACGGAACTGGAAGATGTTTTTATGTTTTATGTGTGTCTGTATTTGTTTGTTTAAATTTTTAAAAAAATGTTATAAAAAGAGAAGTTCCTTGAGGATGGGGTCCAGCATGAGTGACCAACTCATATAGTATCCTGCAATATTATTCTGCAACACTTACATTTGCATTCATTTCTGATTGCTCTTTATTTCTTGAATAAAACTTCAAATTTTGTCCTGCAGTGTTTACCCATCTAATCCATCTCTGAAATGTAATTAAAAATGGCTGAATACAGCTTTTTAAAACAAAAGTGAAACATATACTTTTGTGTAATTAGATATAAGTTCTGGAAAACTGATTCTGTTACACTCCACACACACACATTTTCACATACTTTGGTGCATTCGGTGTGTTTTTGTCCCTATTCTACTATTAAAACATCATTTTGACAGTTTCTATAAACTGAGTTTTTATAATCCACTCTATATACAGTAGGTTTCTATTTTCATTCATGAACTAATCAAATCAAATCTTTATTGCAGTCAAACACCAACATAAGGATGAGGTGGGATACAAAAAATTAAAAAGAATAAAAATATATCAGAATAAAAAACCATGTAAAAAGCTACACAAATGAAAACAAATATGTAAAAAGTATCTAAAAAGAATCTTTTTGAATGAACTAATGATCCTTTTTTCCCCACATATTTCCTAATAACCATAGAAAATATGCCATGCCATTTGTATGAGAAGAGTGCCACATAGTGGCCAAATTTGAGGAACACATTAACTTTGCAGAATGTATGTATGTATTTATTTATTTATTTCTCAAACAGAAAATCATTGTTCTTTTAGGGGACCTTTTTCCACCCTTTCTCTCCACTTTGCTTGAGGTGTATAGATCAAATTTTGTGGCTCACTCAGCTACTTTAGGTCATCCTTCTCCAACTGGGAGATACAGGCAGTGTTGACTTAGGACCACAATTGAGACAAAAAAAATTGTTGCTAAGTAAGGCAGTTGTTAAGTGTGCCACACCCAATTTGCATTGGTTGTTAAATTAATCATGCAATTGTTAAGCAAAATTAGCTTCCCTTGACTGATTTGGCTTGTTGCAAAGTCACAAATGGCGCTCACGTGACCCCAGGATGTTTCAATCATTGTAAATACATGCTGGCTGCCAAGCATTATGTGATCACAAAGATGCTGAAAGATGCATAAGTGCAAGGAAAGTCATGTAGGAAGTTATCACCCAGCCCTCTCCCAGAAAAAATGAAATATCCTAGGAAATATTGAAAAGGCAGAATATTTCTCTGGATGTGAGAAGGAAGAAACATGTTAAAAAAAACAATAGCTCCCTGTAGCTTCCTGCCCATCCTCACTTTTGTCAATGGGCCATTAAGAAGGCCAAGCTACTCCACTTTACATAATAAAGAATTCTCCCCTTCAGCTCCAGAGTGATGGGATTAAGGCATGATAATATTGGCCCTTTACCCAACTCGCCACATGGCATCTGAGAACTCAACCAAACCTGCATTCAAAAAGGCAGCCTAGAGAGTTGCCCCTGCATGGCTCCATGGAAGTCTGACAACCAATCAGAATACAAATCAAAGATCAAAGGCCAGAGAGGGCATAAAACCAGGGACTCAGCTTCTCTTCCGCCCTTCTCTTCTCCACCAACATTGAAGCATGTGATCACCTTTTCTGTTCAGGACTCAAGCCATGTGGTCGTGTCCAC